GCCGCATGCGCAGAGCGGGGATGCCGGGCGCGGGCGGGGCTGGCGGCGGGGTGCGGGCTGCCGCCGGCTGCCGCCTCAGCGCAAGGCGGCGGAGGTTGATGTTCCGTCTTCAGGGCTGTCTTTTTCCCCCAAACCGCGGCATCCGCGCGGGCCGGGCGACGCCATCCGCCGTGCCTTGCCCTGGCGGGGCCTCCCGGGAGGCGCAGGCCCCGCCACTGCGGAGAAGCTCTCCACGGGAGGGAGCGGGCGGCCCGTCCCGTCCCGTCCCGTCCCGTCCCGGGGAGGCCGGGAGTCAGAAACCCAGCGGCAGGGTTTCGCCGTGGGATTGCGGGAGTTACCGCCTGCGCTTGGCTTGCTTGAATCCTTCCTGGATTAGGGAAATGAGTAAAAGTGAAAAGTTAACATTGTGCCAAAATCCACCGGACCTAAATAAAGCAGAACCGCTGTGGCAGCCGGGCTGTGAGGAGGCTTTGGGTATCCCTGCCTTGCTGCTCTGGAGGCTCCCCAGAACCCCCCTGTGCGGGTGAGAGCGCTCTCCGCTTCCCTGGTGCCGCCAGAAAACAGCCAGGCTCCCAGTTTTGTAACTGAGGAGGTGCTTCGGAAAAGCAGGTGGTGTTTGCTCCTTGTGGGAAGAGAAATTTCCCTCGGGTCACCGTGCGGCTTGCGTTCAGCTTTGAGCAAGGGGCACTTCGCCCAGGGCATTAACGCAGCAGCGCCGCCGTGTCACAGCGTGGAGGCACCAGCCGGCAACTCGCCGTTACAGAAAAACGCGGCTTTGCCCCTCTAAGCGCGGTGGAGAGCAGCACAAAGGCTGCGGGGCCTCGCCAGGACGCTGCGTCAGACCAAGTGGCGGCCCTCCCTGCGAGACAGCCGGCTGCAGGCAGGCTCCCTCCTGGGCAGCCAGGGCCCAGCCGGGGCAGAGCCCCATGGCTCTGGGCGGACCCAGCCCTGTGCCCTCCCGGGCTTGCGGCCCCGGCTCCCGCTGCGTTGCTCTCCCTGAATCTGCAGCGAGTGAGCAGGACAGCAGGAGCTGCCCGTGCCTCCGGCTCCCCGCAGGCTGAACTCGTGTTTGAGCCCAGGGATCCGCACCGGGACCGGCCGGGGTGCCGAGGCCGTGGCGGTGCTGCGAAAATCTCGTTTTGTGACATTTTTGTGACAGCGGGACGCCTGGGCCTGGCTCCCC